CATATATTTGGGTCTTGTTTTCTTATCCATTCAGCTACCCTATGCCTTTTGATTGGAGCATTTAATCCATTTATATTTAAGGTTATTATTGATAGATGCTTACCTACTGTCATTTTCTTTCTTTATGCCTATATTTCTCATTCTCTCTGTTTCAACTTCTTATTACAGCAGTACTTTTAACATTTCTTGCAATGCTGGTGTGGTGGTGATAAACTCCTTTAGCCTTTTTTGAGTGGGAAGCTCTTTATTTCACCATCTATTTTGAATGATAACCTTGCTGGATAGAGTAGTCTTGGTTTCAGATCCTTGCTTTTCATTACCTTGAATACTTCATGCCATTCCCTTCTGGCCTGTAGAGTTTCTGATGAGAAATCAGCTGACTGCCTTATGGGAGCTCCTTTGTAAGTAACAGATTGCTTTTCTCTTGCTGCCTTTAAGATTCTCTCTGTCTAGAATTTTTGGCATTTTAATTATGATGTGTCTGGGTGTGGGCCTCTTTGGATTCTTCTTCCTTGGGACTGTCTGTGCCTCCTGAACTTGTGTGACTTTTTCCTTCACCAGTTAGGGAAGTTTTCTGCCATTATTTCTTCAAACAGATTCTCTAACCCTCGCTTACTTTCAACCTCTTCTGGTACTCATATTATGCACATATTGTTACATTTCATGTTGTCCCACAGCTCCCTTAAACTGTCTTCCTGTTTTTTAATTCTTTTTTCTTATTGGTCCTTTGATTGGGTAATTTTTTTCTACCCTGTCTTCTAATTCTCTGATCCAGTCCTCAGCTTCCCCTAATCTGCTCTTTATTCCTTCCAATGTATTTTTTATTTCTACTGTGTAATTCTTAATTTCCTTCATAGTTTCCATTTCTTTACTCATGCTGTTAAGCATCCTTATGATTAGTCTTCTGAGCTCTATATCTGATTAAATGCTTATTTGCCATTTCATTTAGCTCTTCTTCTAGAGAATTCTTTTGCTCTTTCATTTGGGGCTTGCTTTTTGGCTCCCCATTTTGGCTGCCTGTTTGGATTTGTTTCTATGTATTAGGTAGGTTTGCTAGGACTCCCAGTCTTAAGCTTTGTGGGACCACTCCACAGCTGTGGTTCCCTCTGCTGGGGAAATGTGTTTGGACACGACCAAGATGTGCACCAAGGTCTGCTTTTCCAAGCCCAGTCTCTGTGCGATCTGCACTTTTTGTCCTTGGTTGTGAGGGTGCTCTCCAGTTAGTGTTCAGTTGCAGTTCATTATTCAGGATGGTTTTTCTGTATTTTAGTTGTAATTCCAGTTTGGTCCCGGGAGAGTGTAATTCTAGCTTCCACTCAATCCACCACCATCTTCGGCTCCTGAGGTGCTGTCTGCTGGGGTAGCTACTCTGGGGGCACAATGGGAACTCACCCAGACCTGGGCAGGACCCCGGCCATGAGGCCCCAGATGGGAATGGGCAGTTCTACTGCCTCTGCGCGGCCTCCTCCAGGGGGTGCTGTTCCTCCTCAGGGCCTGGGACTCCCTGCTCCCCCAGCAACCAGGGTTCAGCAGGTGGCTCCTCAAGGCTTTTGCTGTCACTGGAGTCCAAATAACGCTGCCCGAAAGTCCTCTATATTTTTATTTATTTATTTATTTATTTATTTATTTATATTTTTATTTTTTTAATTTTATTTTTGTTTAAAATAATACAGATGTCTCTTTTTCTCCCCAATGACCCATTCTACCCC